CAAACCATTTTCACTGACCCCCGCTGGACACTATAGAATAGATTGGTTCACATCCATTCTGCAGTGAGAGCCCAAAACTGGACACAGCATGCCAGATGTGGCCTCAGGGTTGTATAGAAGGGAATAATCATGTCCCTTGATCTGCTGGCAACACTCTCACTAACGCAGCCCAGTATGCCATTAGCCTTCTTCACAACAAGGGCAGACCGCTGGCTCATATTCAGCTTAGTGTCCACTTTAACTCCTAGGTGCTTTTCTCCAGAACTGCTGCTTAGCCAGTCAGCCCCAGCCTGCACTGGTGCATGGAACTCTTCTGACCCAAGTGCCAGACTTTGTACTTGTCCTTACTGAACCTTGTGAGATTTCATTTGGTCCACTCCTCCAATCTATGCCTCTCTGAAGCCTAGCCCTATCCCACAGTGTACTCCCCACAGCTTGGTGTTATCTCCAAACTTGCTGAGGGTGCACTCCATCTCATCTTCCAGATCACTGATAAAGATACAGAACAAAAACAGTCCTAGGACTGACCCCTGGGGCACTCTACTTGATACTAGCTGCCAATTAGACATCCAGCCATTGATTACTACTCTTTGAGCCTGATGAACCAGCCAGCTTTCTATCCATCTTATAGCCCATTCATTCAACCTACAGTGTCTTAGCTTGCCTGCAAGAATGTTGTGGGAGACCATATCAAAAGTCTTGCTAAAATCAAGGTATAACATGTCCACTGCTCTTCCTGCCTCCACAAAGCCAGTCATCTCAACGTAGAAGGCAGTCAGGTTGGTCAGGGATGACTTGCCCTTGGTGAATCCATGCTGACTCTTCCCAAACACCTTCTTCTTCTCCAAGTGCTTAGAAATGGATTCCTTGAGGACCTGGCTCCATGTTTTTTCCAGGGACTGAGGTGATCTTCCTTCTTCCTTTTCTTTAAGATGGATATTGTATTTTCCCTTTTCCAATCATCTGGATCTCTCCCAATCACCACGTGTTTTCAAAGATAGCGGCCAGAGGCTCTGCAATCACATTGGCCAACTCCCTCAACACCCTTGGGTGCACTGTGTATGGCCCCATGGACTTGCACACATCCAGCTCTTCTAAAAGGTCCCTGATGTGTCCTTTTACTATTGTTGGCTATTCATATTCTCCACAAACTGTTCTGCCAGGTGCAGTAGTCTGGAAACTGACTGCCTGTGAAGAATGAGATAAAAAAGACATACAGTACACTTCAGCCTTTTCTACATCATCTGTCACTAGGCTGCCTTCCCTATTCAAGAAGGGACTCACACTTTCCCCGATCTTCCTCTTGTTGCTCACATACGTGCGGCAACCCTTCTTGTTATGCTTCACATCCCTCACTGGCTGCAACTCCAATTGCACCATAGCTGTGTAGGCAGGTTTTGCACATTAATAAGCCTAATTAATAAACCTTGGTATTTGGATCTCCCTGTTGAACCAAGTTGATATTTGGCACAAAATGGTGAAAATTCTGTATTTCTTTTACTCCATTCAAAATCCCTGATGATTCTTTGTGTAGGAGGCAGAAGTCGCAATGAAGGCATCGATTCTCATAAAATAAGAGACCCTACTTCATCAGGGATCCTGCTGATCACACTAGAGAACTTTAGCACAAGGCAAATGGCACAAAAAGCATTTAAATTTTGTGCAATTTCTGCATTTTACCTTTTTCTAAGAGCCCAGAAATGTTACCTCTTTAAATAATAGGGAAAAAGTGTACTATGGTTCACTGAGATACCAGGAGACTTGGATCTTGGAAATACTGAGTTGTGCTACACAAAACTACCCAATGACAACCTCCAGACGGAACTAAACAGTACCCTCAGTTTGCATCTATCAAGGTTGTTTCTTCTCTCTTATTCAGTAACCACACAAGCTTTCCTAAACTGCTTCTGTACTGCCACCTGCTGCTCAAACTGCTTGTCTCCTGGACAAGCGGTAGAAGAAAAATGGGTTTCCATACCCCAACAAAATGTAGCTAGTACTAAGTGCTGTGAAACAATTCTGCTGTCTCTTGGTAGGTGCATTTGCAATGAGACTAGCTACTTAGAAAAGGGTAAAAAGATGCACTGATATATTAAAACTCCTCAAAACAACCAACCAATAGATGATAAAGTGGAATAAAGGCTTTTCAAAGCCCCTTTTAAAAGCTCAATTTTGTAGCTAGTCCACATGTGAATTAGGGCTGTGTGAAATTGAGCCGGCTGCTTCATTTTGACACTGTTTTGAACAATTTGGAGCTCGAAACAGTGAAATCGAAATGAAATGAAGGCCTCTGAAACAGCCTTGAAACAAAATAAAGGCAGTTGAAATGTTTCAAAAGTTTTGAAACATTTCGAGTTTTGAAGCAGCTATCCAGGTGATGGGAGACAGGGGAGAACCAGGGTTGCGCTTCCAGTGGCTCTGCAGCCCCGTTTGGCTCAGCTGGGCGGGGAGCACAGCCCTGGCTCTCCCCACCTCCCGTGGCCAGGCTGCGCTTGGTGGGGCTGACGGAGCCAATGGGAGCGCAGCACTGGCTCTGCCCGCCTCCCGCTGCTGAGCTGTGGTCTGATCAGCTCTGCCAGCCCCATGGAGCTCAGCCCAGTGGCAGAGGCAGGCAGAGCTGGCACTGTGATCTACCTCCCGCCACCGCGCTGAAATCCACAGGGCTGCAAGAAGCTGATCACAGTGCTGGGGAACATAGCTGGGCCAAGTTCTCAGCTCAGTCACAGCAAATGCTTCCTCAGCCTGATCGAAACGTTGAAACAGTGTCAAAACAACGAAATGGAACAGAACAGTACTGCCAAAATGAAACAAAACTCAAAACGAAACACTGTTCTGTTGAAATGTCAAAACAGATGTCAAAGTAGAACGCTGCTGTTTCGCACTGCCCTAATGTGAATCACATATAGCATGCATGACATTTAAAACAAGAAATTTGTACAACATGAGCTTCCTAAGGAATTTCTCTGATCTCAAGGCATATATCTTCTGGGGTAATAAATTAGTTAACATTTCAGCTGGCCATTTTTAGAAATAAACAAGCTGCTGTAGGAAGAAACCTAGATTCAACAGTTATTACATTCCAGGTGCTTCTTATGGTCAAATAATGTAATACAAGTTCCCCTTAAAAATTCAGATTTGATTAATATCTAATTCTCAATAATAACAAATACCACTGACAAGTTGAAAATCTAAGCATCTTCCAAGTAAGGTTTCAGACTTAAAATGGTGGAGTGTACATTTTCAACACAGTGCTTCCTTATCAACATTTTAACATTCTGATATGGAAAGCCATAGTCACAAAGTTATAAAGAAAACCCAAAAACTGATAAAAATCTGGGATAAAGTAAGCTATTTACTGACTGCATCTTCTAATATCTGAGAGAAGCCGTTTCTCAACCTGTGGATTACGACATAAGAATATTTGAAAGGGTTGCAAACAAACTTTAAAAATGGATTCTCCTTTAAAGGAGAAAAAGGAACTTTGGAAACCATGTTTTTTTCCCTTGCAGGCTGGCAGAATACAAGCCTGCAAGGGGCTGCTTGGGACCCCCCATGGTCCACACACCCTCTCCTATCCTACACACTCAGGGACTCAGGCTCGTGAGTCAGGAGTGAGAGGCACCGGCAGGGCCAGAGGGCTGTTTTATTCTTAAACTATCTACTAGCTTGGGACTGGCCACCCATGTTTACAAATGAGTCCTGGCACAAAAAGGTTGAGAACCACTGTTTTAGAGCAATGGTTGCACAAAGTAGAACTCACATATGAGTTAGTTAAGATTAAGATATGGAGAATTTTAGGTCACAGAAAACAGGATGAGTAAAGTCAGACCATTTACAACCAATTCCTTCATCTGAAATACTAGCAGAGATACCAAAGACTAAATGGACTGTAGAAATTAACCTCTCCCACTGCTAGCAGTAGCTGCTCCAGAACTGGTTTGATATGTACTGCTAGTAGCTTTCACTTTCCAATAGCCAAGATTAATCCAGGCTGTGTATAAAAGATTCCAACTGGTGGTTATGTATGTTCAGTACACTTGACCACTATTGCACAAAGCAGGACAACAGCCACTCAACATGTTATGTTCTGTTTTGCCACTCTCTTCGGAAAAAAATGGGACTAAAACCTGAGACACTGGTCTGCTCTATATACATTTTAAAGTTCTATTGTACTTTTAATAAAAGTTGGAATTTGTCTCCATCTAGAACAAACTTCAAGGTAAATTTTCTGAAGCACTCACTCAAAGTAGGCCTATTTCTCATCTTATTAAAGCCAATGAGAGTTGTATTGTGGTCTTCAAAGGAAGCAAAGTTAGGCTGACAGTCTTCTTGGGAATCTCTCCCTCAATGGCAACTTTGTACCAAATTACATAGCATCTTTCATACAAGGACTGCAGAGTTCTTTAGAAAGGTGGGGGACACTGTTGTCATTTCCTACTTAGAAAAGCTGAGGCACAAAAATGTGACTTGACTTGCCCCCACACACCGAACAATTCAGGAAAACAATTAGAAACAGAATTCAGTTCTCCCAGACTTCTATTTCGATCACTTACCAACACTGTTTCCCAATCCCCTCTTTCAGCTCAATGGCTATATCGAGTTTATGTAGTTGCTGCACTACACTCCATATATGGAACCATTTCAAGGTGCTCCACATAGTTTGGGATGACTTTGGGCTCCATTAAGGACAGCCAATTTTCCAGCCCGTCGGGAGCCCTGAAGGCTGGATGACATGGCCCCACATGCTGTTGCACTGGTACATAGGGTTGTTGTTCCAGGGCTGGATCTGGTGGGTGGGACCAAGACAGCGCACCAGATTGCACCCCAGGACTGACTCTGTGCTGGATCAGGCCAGAAGACTGATCCCATTCATGGGATCTGGCCCATGAGGCTAGAAGGTTGAGCACTACTACTTTAGGATTGAAAAGCATTACCAAAAATCTGCGTTAACTGAGCTTTAAAAAATAATTATTTCAAAGCACATGATGTTTGTACTGTACCTGTCTCCTTCAGGGATGTCCTCAATATTTCCAAAGCCAGGAGCTGGCATAGGACACCCCATGTGTGTGAAATGAGCTATGTGGGGTTTAGGAGCTTTCACTTTTCCATGATTTTTTCGGTGCTCTCTCTCAGCTTTCATTTGTTCATTGACCTTGTCACAGACAAAACACTCAAAGCCGTTCAGGTAATTTGGCAGAGTCATATCATTCACTCCCCACTCTCGTGACTTCAGGCTCTGCACCAGAAACTGGTTTTTAATGCCTCCTGGCTTCTTAAACTCTAGGTATTTCAAGTATTCCTCCCCATTCCTGTCCAAGAAGTGAAGGTACTCTGCTAGCTCCTGGGGGCTTCCAAAATCATCCACAAGGATGATGGAGAGGTTATCAGGCATCCAGTCCCGCACAGATGGGGATCCTCGGTACACAGGGATGGCTCCCACATGCAGTGGACGCCACAGTTTTTCTGTTATGTAGTCACTGCATATTGCATTCTCCATGGCCAGGTGGAACTTGTACCTGGAGATAAAGGTCATGAATTCAGAATCCTCTGTTGTAGCTGTAGAAGTGTCCGTCAGTCTCTCGCTGGGAAGTTCTCGGTTATGCAGGCATTTGCCGTAGGAGTCTACCTAAAACAGTAAAGGGCATCTTTACAAAAGTAACTTTTCTGTTCGTTTCAAGCTTGTTTTCAGTGTGACCAGGGTGGGCAGGTTTCTTTTAGAATTCCTTCTAAACAGGTCTTAAGAGTCTAAGTCACTCTTTCACTCCAGCTTCTTCCTTCTCAACGAACGGATTTAGCAAAAACATTCTAATGCATCTAAAATTCATTGGAGCATCTTATTTCCGTTTTTTAAACTTTACCCCTTCTTCTAGGGCATCTATTCTTCCTGCAAAAGATACAAAGATCTCCCAAAGTCAATGATAATTTCTTGTTTCTTACAACAGAACTATGCCTCAAATATTTAATCACAACTGACAGACAAGAGAGGCAAAAAACAACTTGGAGATGCACAGCCCTTAGGAAAAGGTAAGTTTATGAGGGGCCAATTCAGTAAAACGTTTACACATAGGAGGATGCAGAACTCGCTTGTTGTTACACTGAAGTTTTTGTTACTACATAAAACTTAGAGTACTTCTCCTTTCTAAACTGTTGTACTGACATTAATCAATCCATGTTACACCCTTTTGGGGAAGGCTGGCAGGTGAAAAAGTTTCAACTTGTAAAAGTGATGATAACCAATAGAGACGTTAAAAGGGTACAATCACTTGAGGAGCCAGTCATACTTAATACCAAGTTAAAAGTCGATGCAGGCACTTTAATCTGACCTGAGTCCACCAGGTAATTTTGTATTTTACAATTAGTTTCCTATTTCTGTTGCTTCCTCTGGCTCAGTGATTCTCAACCAGGGTGAAAGCAGGGTAAATTTGCACCTTTACAGACTAATTAACCTATATATTTGTATCTCTCTACATTCTAATACTAGCCAATTGCCCATCAAGAATGACCGGGGGGGGGGGGGGGGGGGGGGTTTTTTGTTT